GGGGGGGCAGGGTCTGTCCTTAATGCCCTCCTAGGATTATGGGCAGCAGAGTCCTCTCCATCCTCTGAGTCTGTATCCACTGGTCTGTCATCATCCGTGGTCTTTGACCGACTGGTCAGCAGAGTCGCTGAGTTCAGAGGCTAAATGTCAAAGTCTTTTTGGATTTCCTTCTTCCAGCAGCGTGAGTCTGTAACCGGAGAGAGTGAGCTCTGAAAATAGGAAGCTATCACTGCTAATGGGAGCCTCCTGCGTCGACTCAATGGAGCCTTTGTGCAGCTGATTTCCTCTGCAGGGACACAGTGACACACATGCACACATTCACTGCCTGGAAAACTGTGGCTTTCACCACACACAGCCATTCATGTGCTGCTTCGATTACAGTCAAACCCTGTTTCTCTGGATATGAGCAGGTCACTGAGGAGAACAAAAAAATAAACTCAGCTTTTCTTCCACTTCTTTAATTTAATTAAACTTATTTACGGACCTCTCCTTTTTTTTCTTTGTCAGAAAAATAAAATGTCACTTAATTACAAATCTAGTCTTTTGAAATGAGGCTTTTAAACTGACAACATTTATGTTTTGATAAACAAAATCATCTCATCTTTTTTGCGGACGATTTCTCTCCTCATCCTACATACGAAATATCAAAATTTTCTTGCTGGAAAGGTTTACGTTGACGCCAAATTCTGTTACCGTTGATCTGATAGCTGATTGGTTGGTGTATTTATTTCACCTGTTTTTGCCCGTCTTAACATGTGGATTTAAAAAAAATATATATATTATTTACATTTAAAAAATAGCCTGTTCTGGAAATGGAATTAGTAAAATATTCAACACAGGAGGCGCTATCGTTAAGAACTATGTCACACTAAACCTAATATTTTCCACGATCTCCTTCCTTCGGTGGACTCCTGCAAACACAGACCATTACTCTCTATAGGAGTGAGTCTGTGACACGGAGAGGCCGGCGGTGGAGAACAGAAAGGTCACAAAGGTCGGCTGGTGGAGCAGAGTCTTTTGGCAGAGCCGGCGAGCGTCTGCCATTTCTCCCGTGTTGCTGGTGTTTTCCGACAGCAGCGTGCGCCTGGACGAGTCCTCTGTGCCTGTGAGACACTATTTGCAACTTAAGAAGCAGCTACAAAAAATATTACAGAGCCGCTAACAAAGCCGGGCTCTGAAAGGCTGCTGGGAGGATTAACGTCAGATCTGCTAGACCGCGGCTTCGTGGTGGGCGATCTTATCAAACGCGCCCGACTGTATTTTTAGCCCTGGTGGCCCCGGAGATTTAAACCTGAAAATGACTGCTGGTCCCTGAGATATAATACTTGGCAGACGTGGACCCCGCACCACTGCTTTTACATGTTGTCATTTCCTGGACTGAAATCATTTCGATGTGGGCTGGTTGGCAGGTCTGCTCACACACATGGAAAACCTGAGCTGGATCCAAACTGAGGGGGAGGAGCCAATAAAAACGTAATAAAACACAGTCAAATATTCTGTACTTCATTCTGTGGTGTTGAGTCATGGGTTAAAA